TATAACTCTTTGAAGATGATAATGGTTCGTTTATGCAATTTGAATAATCACCTGCTTCGAGATTTAAAAGTGATAGTTGAAGAGCAACTCTCTATAAACTAAAGGAATATCACGAAATTACATAATATTGGGAATGAAAAAAATGAGTCTGTCAGATATGAGAAATGCGTCGATGATAACGTAAAGAATTGTTGACATTCGTTGAGTGCATCGTCGAATGAAACATTTCTCTCTGCGACACCCCGTATATCCATTTCTGAAATAAATGATAACGTCAACAACAAGTGCAGCATGAAGCCGGCCAGGTTGGGGTTTCGAGTGCAAAGTTAAACGTCGAGCGTTTGGCCGCGACGACGACGACTACCACGACGGTAGTCGTGGCTCGCAGGGAGGGTAGGAGGGGTGAGAAAGGGTGACGGATATAATCTCGGAGCGTATAATAAATTACACTTGTCACAAACGCGCGCGCTATCGTAGCCAGACACGTTCGCAGCAAGATGGCCTTTTATCTCATCGAAGCTACGTTGATCGTCCCCTCTCACTTTCTCTCCTACCGTCGCAAGCGGACGTCCTCGGAAAAATAGCGACGTTCGCGCTGTGAGACTAAACGACGCCAAATCGAACGATATCGCTGATAAACGATGCGCTTTCCCGGAAGAAACGGAAATTAGTTCTTCCGATCCGCGAACTTTTGTTAGCGTCTGCGAAATGTTGAATGGACATATATGTACAAAATATGCGTATTATTCGTTCTCTCTTTCTCCCTTTTTGAAGCTCATGAAACACATTTATTATTATACAAGACCAAAAAGATATCTTACATCTTAAATGTCAAGTTTAAGAAGAATCGTATTTCTACTTAAGTTACATATATCGAACAAAAACTATATTTAAATCGAGATATAACTTATGCATAATGTAAGCTCAAAACCAGTCCTTGCAACTCTCATATTTCGGTCTTGATTAATGGCTAATGAAAATGCATAAATTCATTCAACTAATTTAAATCTAAATTAGTTTTACTTATTAATTTAATTTGGTTTATACAAGTTTAATAAATATAAATAAATCTATTGATTTGCTTTTGTGTAATACCATAATACGAATTTATTTATACTGTAAAATTTTTTTTTAAAAAAAGGATGTTATGAAAAATTTAAAACATATATAATATGAAACTTTATATTGTAATTTTTTATGTTAATGAATTCTTATTAAGATGGAATTAGGCAGAAAATATTCCTGTAAATTTTCCTGGCAACACAGATAATAATCTCCACTAAAACAGCCTTGAGTATCGTTTTTGGTGTGTACTTTCGAAAACTTTACATCTCTCTCTCTCTCTCTCTCTCTCTCTCTCTCTCTCTCTCTCTCCAAAAATCAAATTTAAATTTTAAAACGCACAATATATTTATATAACTTTAATTTAGGCTTTAAAATTCCATTTAGTTGTTTCAATAGAACATTATAATATATATATAGCATATAATTATTAAAAATGAATAATTCGTGGGGGGGGGAAGACTTTCGAGAAAACATACAAGTATTTTTTATATAAATGTATTTGTTTGGATGTTTCTTTTATTAAACATTAATTATTGATGACTCATATTGAAATTTATACGAAAAAAATCTTAATTTCCTTTAGCAATGTTATTTTACGCTTCTCCCATTGGTGTACGCGTGATTAACGCGTCAGTTTAATTAATCGACGACACGGGACAATCAATTACGTTTGTTTACAAGCAGTACTCGTTACTTACGACGGCCTCGACCGGTTGATTAAGAGCAAATTAATGTTACTCGAAGGTGGACCATGTTATCACACCTGGCCATGTAATCCTGTTACTTCAGAATAATTATCGTCTGTCGAGTTTTCACATTAGCTCACTTAATCGTTAGCAATCACAGTTTTGTGTTCAAAACGATCAAGTATAAGACATTTTTAATACTATGAAAAATTTTCAAAAGATTATTGATTGTAGTTTGACAGAATTTTATTCGGTATTTCTGAGAACATTCCAATATAAAAATCTAATACCCAAAAAAAAATCTAATTATAAAGTGAAATTTCCGGTAACCTCATATTCTAAGTAGAAACTTTTACCGAAAGAGTATTCCTCTTCCAATGCACTGGACTATTCATCAAAAATGTATTGGAGATTATTCTAACAGTTTTCCTCTTGTATGAAGAGGAATATATTTACTGAAAGCGGAGTGCCCTCTTACAAGTAAATTATATTAGGAACACACAGCAAGAGTTTTACTGCAGATGGAAAACAAAAGTACTCTAACTGTAAAAATATTGTGCTTAACATATTATCCTCTTGATTTCAGAAGATTCCTCCTGAGGCCGTATATAAGAATAAAATCCTCTAAGATTTAGCGGTTTCTGCTAATATTAAAATTATTTTTTTTTTTTGGTTGAATACGTAATTGTTTATGATCAGTCTTATTCCTCTATTTGCGATTTTATTCTTTAATCTCAAAAAGCTTGATAATATTGATATTAATTAACGAGTATCTGTTGGCGGGTTGATTGACGAACCATATCAAATTTTCGCAGAAGATAAGATCAATCATTTTGCGTATTCATCACAGGCACAGTATGATACGCACCTTATGACCTTTGGATAATCTTTCCAAATGTCAATCTCCGATATAGTTATGCTTTAAATTCTACTTCCCAACTAGAAGATATGTGCCAATTAATGATAAATATATAAATAATTCAGTATATATATCAAACGTAAAACGTAAACCTATTTTAATAGTTCAAAAAGTTAGTGATTAAAGTCGTGAAGATTTATCTTCTCAAAGTAACAGATTCGTTTGTATTTATTGCATTCCTCACAATTTTTATGTAAATTAACATTTCACACTAATATAATCGACAAAAACTTTAATTTAAATCGTAACTTATTGCAAAAAGATTTGTAGGTACCTATTAATATAGAAGTATCTCCTAACATTGATGACATATCGTTTAAAATAATACTACAAACTTTGTCAATTTATATAATTTCTGTAGTTTATTAATTACAAAGTGTTTACGAAATAAAATCTAAGACATTTTATGGTCGTTTGCTTTGAAGAACGCCCGTCGCACGTTTCGGAATCGTATCTGTGCGAGCTAAGTCCAACTTGTTCTGTTCTGTCATATTTTCTTTATGATTCTTCAACACTGCAGCGACAAAGTTCATAAAGTTTGTAGTAAACCGTAGAATAAACTGTTCGGTGAATACATTTAAAATAAAACTAAATACAATTTGAAACGCGTAAATCCCAGAATTAATAAAACACCCGAAGAATATGAATTTAATCCTAATGTAATTAGAAAAAATAAAAAATCCCGATAGCGTCGGCTCTTGTTCTAAATAACAGCAGTGCTAAATAAGCTTTAAAAAAACGGTCCCTCAGAGTAAATATTGAACCACAAGATGCTTACAACAATTTTCTATGAAAATTACGATTGTAACTAGGAGGAAGTCAAAGTTCACATAGAACTTTTTTCTAAGAGGCCAAGGTTTAGTCATCTATATTGATGATAATAATGATGAAACCCTATAATCACGAAGTCAGAGAGATCACTTTTATATCTGCAAAGATTCTGTATTGTCATCGAAATCTACATTCTTTAAGCCAAGCTCGTATAAAATCATATATTCTCACTTGGAATGAAGACTGCAGTTCGGTATTGGCAAAGCTATCACGTAAAGCTGCAGATTTCATCGGCTAATCATATTTTCGGACAATATTCTACATTAACAGATTTTAAACATTGACGCTGTTTAAAAAATTGTGTAGACTTTCAATATAGATACATCATTCTGTAAAAGTGGTCATTTGACAAGTAATTTCATGTCAGTCGCGCACGCATTCTACTATGTGACAAAATAGAAAATATGCACAGGCTGTGTTATAAATATAGCTGACGGGAATTATAGAAGGAAGAGAAAACTATTAATATAAGACAAGAGAGAAATTTATCACTTTTACAAGTCGTGAGTGGCCATTACTTATACAAGTTTCTAGGCATAAATTTGTCTACGTATACATAGTTCAACTAATACAGAAACTATATAAATAATCTATTTTAAGCTTCTGTGCTATGCAAAGACATTTTGTAACTGATTGTGAATTAAGTAAATTTATTTCCCGACGTTTTCCCAAATGAATTTATATCCTTGCTTAAAAGTTTAAAAAGAAGTTATTAATTCGGAAAATTAGAGACACAAACAATTTATGAAGATTAGAAAATGTGCATTTGGAGTCAAAGTAAAAAGTTCCTTTATTGTATTGAACAATTTTTCTCTCAATTTTTTTTCCATTTTTTATAATTATTAGATAAAACTATAAAAAATATTCAATATATATATATATTACTTTCAATAACAAATTATACAAAAAATATATGAATATTTTCCATTCTTAAATAAACACTACTTAGTTATTACTTAAAGTAAAGCATACGTATAATTTGCATAACTTTGCATATTTAAAAATAGAAAGATAAAAAGATATATAGCAAAAAAACAGTCAATCTTACTCAGTCAGCTGTAGAACTCTAACAAAAAGTGCAATTGACATTGATTTTTAGACCTTCCTTGCCACGACAAAAATGTTAGCAGATAATTTAAATAAGTGTTTATTCTTCTGATATTTTTACAGCATTGTAAATAAGTTTTTATTTCATGACTCCTACATTCTCACAATGCATATCATCAAAAGTGACCCCGTGACGTTACACAAAACGAATCCTGATACTGGGATTGATTAAAATTATCAATTAAAGAGCAAGCTCTTAAAAGTTGGTTCATAAGTACTGGTAAAAATGTAAGCAGTTCGAGATTCACCATCTTGAATTCGATTAGGAGAAATGTTCGCGAAGATGCTATCGCAGATTCGCAATCTGAGCGAGGAGCTTCCGCCCCGGCGGGGTGTACCAGCTGGTGCAGAGCGCGGCCAATGGGCAACGCGGGCACAGGGATGACACTCACCCAGTGCATGCCGGTGGTAGGAGGGGCGCGCTCCTCATACACTCCCATCAGTGTGGCCGCTGTCGCGGGGTAGTTCCCGCTGAGGGTGCGCGACGCCGATGTTACTCGGGGGGGAGTCCCGAGGGGTCCGCTTGCCGATAACGCGGAGATGGCGTCCGCTGTGACTCGGGTCTTCTCTTCCTTCCACCTCTACTACGCTCGTCCACCCTCGTCCTCTCCTCTCTTACGTTATCCTCCCCCCGCAACACTCCCGATATCACGACACTAATGTGGGGGTTGAATCCCTCCTTGACACCTTTGAGAATAGTCGAGGGAGGAGCCCTCACGGGTGCATCTCGCGATTCTTTAACCAAGTCGACAACAGTCCACGAACAATCATACGCAAGTAACACCCATGTCACTTCACAGATTAGCACTGAAGTCCGTTACTATTATTACCGATATCATCGACAATCCAATTTGTACTTCGCGGTCCATACTCCATATCGCCCCGGCGCACTGCGACGAGCGACGATAAAAAAAAAATTAACCAAATTAATCGTTCGCGTACCCGCACTCAACCAATTCCCCCACTGATCACACTGATGAAGGATCACCCATTCGTAATTGTTCCTTTACTCCCGGAGGAACGTCCAGTATAGAGCGATCTTCCGGGACCATGTGCTCCGTGAAGAAACGCGACGACGAACGGAGCTTGATGCGCACGAGACGAGGGACGACTCTGCTGCGCCAAGGTAAGTCCGAACGGTTCCGACGAGCCGGAGCCGCGATACGGAGTGAGGGTACCGGCAAGGTCGAGTCCAGTCTCGGTGTTTGGCAGCGCCGCCTGGCGACGAAACTGAGATCAGCGGCAACGTCGCCAAGGGGGCGGACTCTGGCTTACGTGAGGCCACTCCCACGTCACCCCACTCGTTGCGCGATACGTGGGTTCCACCCCTTTTGCGTCTCGCGCGCTGTGAATGCCGTGATGAAGCGTTCACTCCCGACGAACGGGTTTGCTTCAGAAGGGCAGAAGGAAGACCAAGGGAGAAGGAAGCCGGCGCCGCTGTACCTCGCATTGTCGTAACCTCTAGGGTAATCATAAATTGTGCATGTTGAAATATTACAATATTTTTTCTTCCTCAACAAAAGGAAAAATGTTTCTTTTCCTCTGCTGAAAAACGCGAAATTTCTGATTAGTTGAAAGTTTCCTTCGGGATAAAATTTCGTCGACATTTTATAATGAATTTTTTGTATGACTGTATGCAAAGTTTATTATAGAAACCACATATTTTAAAAGCGAAATGAGATCTCGAATGTATCTCTCTACAGTAATATTTCTCTTAAATTTTTCAAAAAGATTTTTTATAACACTTTGAAATTGATAGTCATACATATTTCGAATTATTTAACATTACGTGGATTCAGAGAAGAATGGAATCATGTATTTGGAAAATGTCTAGATATACACCCAGTCAAAAGAATTGGTACTATCATTGAAGATCTTATACCAACAATGGGCTAACCCATTTTGTAAGAATGGAGAAAATAAACTCTAAAGATACGTTCAAAAAATAAAATCGGATATATTCCAATAAATACTCAGCGATAACAATGCTAACCTATATTAGGACAATGGAAGGTTCTGTCGCTCATTCATTTTCAGTATTCAGCTACATTATGGATTAGCTTATTGTTGCAGTAAAATCCTCAACTGACTTCCTCTTTCTAACTTAATAATCATTATCAATACAAAAAATATTGCAGAATATCGTCCTCCCTTAATTACACTCATTCGTTATCACAACTTTTTTGGTGGCTCTCAAACGAGAAACTTTTCAAGCTTTTACAAAATCATATATACTTCTTACAGAGAGACAACATGCACAATAGAAAAGCAACTCTTTTTTCAATTCCAGCGTAATGCTTAAATCCTTCACCCCTTCATCACAATTGCGTTTTGCTAAAAAAAAAAAACGACGCAAAGGTGGGAAAGACGAACTCCGGGCCGACCAAGAGGGAGAGAAAGAAACCGTAGATATCCCGTCATAAAGAGAAACCGGTTTTGTTACAACGTAGACGGAAACCGTCGCTCTCCGATCAGAAATTCCTGATGCGATGCCGCCGCGGTGTCCCGATGATGGAATCCGCGAAAACAGCGCTTGCGGGTCCCGCTTGACCCGCGCCATCATCCTTGCCCGCAGTCGTCTTCCTCCACGGCGCGATTAAGCAGAGAATGTTCACAGAGGAAACCGACCAACACTACGGAATGCAGAAAAACACGTCGACGAAGTGAGCTGTCGACGCCGTGGTGCTCGTGCATAGGATGCACTCCTAGATAACTCCTTGAGATCCTGTCATATCGCGACTGTATATTTAAATTCTATTGCAAGACGCGAATCATTGGTGAAAAGTAACTTCTCCAGAGAGGAACGACATTCTATCCAAACTGCGCCGTTGCAGCAAGTAGAAATGCGTAACGATGTGTTGAACATAGCATCGACTAAGGAAGAATAATACAAAATAAAGGGAAGAAAATCATTACTAAATAATTATTATTTAATAATAATTATTATATAATCATTATTACACTATCGCTCATTAATTTCAATACATCCCCAGGTTTGTTGAGTTCTGTGTAAAGGATGAACGTGATACATGTGTTTTGTACAGAAATTAGTCCACCTGTTGTTATAAACACTTTCAGCGCTTGCATGCACGTTATATTTATTTATATAAAAATCCTGTTGAAAATTGCAGTTTTGAAGAAACAGAACAGCCGGATAACATCTGATTTCTGGAAATAAACAAAATACACACGCAAGGTCACGATATTATGATATCATATTATGATATTCATGCCGATAATGCTGTTTTGAAACTGATTCGTCAACACATACACTATATCGCTCATTAATTTTAATATACTACTCAAATCGTCGATTTTTCGAAAGTAATGAAAAAGAATCTCGTTTGTGATGAATATGGATTTATATAGGCAAATAAATATGTTTTGTACTCATACATATTGTTTACAAATTTGCAAAACACACGTATCACGTTCATCCTTTTCAAAGAAATCAACGAATCTGGAGGTGTATTGAAATTAATGAGCGGTAATATATTTAACAATCATTATTTAATATACAACGTTCGCCTCACGATAGATTTGCGTTCCAATTTCCAGAGATGTATTATTTAAAGCTTCTATACTGAACAACAAAATAAAAAATTAACTGGTTGTTATAACTTTTTGCATATAACTTATAATTTTTTTATAAACTACGTTGTCATTTTTGCGCATATCATATATTCACCTCAAAATGTTTGTCTGCTTTCACATTAATACCGAGATCATTCTTTTGTTATACGCATTTGCCGCCACAAAGTAGAACGCTCGAAATATGCTTGGACATTTGAAATTCTCTCTATTATTTTCAGTATTATTCTCTTCTACAGACGAAAATGGTTCACGAGCGGTAAACCGTAAAGCAGCTTCCAAATTGAAAGTGGCGGTCAGATTCAAGAGAGCCCTTGGTGCTTTTCAGTTTTGTCTCTGACTAAAATCCTTGCACTTTTGGTCGAAAGAGCTTTTGCTGAATTTACGTCGGTCTTTACGCTTTTCGGCCTGGAGCAATAATACAGACGCAGGAAATCAAAAACATAAATTCATGTTGAGATAAATTCTTGAAAACTTCAAACTTGAATGAAATTGAGTAAAGTGAATAGATTCTTTGTTATATAATCAATAGATTTTAAAAAACCTTTCAAGTATTTTAAAATTCAATAAAGGAAATACTTATAACAGAAAAATGATCACACATAAACTCTAATATTCTAAATGAAATTTCAATTTCAATTTATAACTAGAACAATTTAAAAGCAATGATTTTAAAGCTAGATAACTAGAATTTCTAAACATCTATAAAAATTACGCACGTAAAATTTACGAATCGAGGCTTTGATGAACCAAACATTTCTATGTTTAACAGCAATATATCGATTGACAGAGGGATCAACGTCTGCAAGCAATGCAATTCGACGCCTAAAAGGTCGCACCTTGAGCTGCGGAAAGGACACCCGTTTTCCGCAGTCCGGCTGGTCACTATTCTCAGGTCGCTTGTAAGCTAAATGGTCCACCCAGCGGTCATTGTCGCCATTGTCTGCGGCCAGCAAGCCGCGGGCACGCGCGAATTTTGTGCGTGTAGAGAAGCGGAACGCGACAATGAGCGGTCAGGCCGGTTACACGCGGGGTCCACGACAGGCGTTACAATGAACTGGACCTTATAAATGTTCGGATAGCGAACGTTCGCGTCCAGAGCACAAACGAACTAAAGCACATCGAATCCCTGATTCCTAAATGACGATTGCGACATAAATCTTCGTACCCCCTACGCCCTTCCTGTATCCGCTACTGATTTTAATAAATATACATATAATGAGTATGTAATGGCTTTATATAATTAAAAACAATTTTTTTTTATCTATTGCTATTAGATTTAATAATTACTTTATTTAAAAGTAAATTAGTTTAGTGTAAACCATGTTAAAACTTGAGAATATTAATTCTTTTCATCTGAATTATATTTATAATGTAGAATAAGAAGACATATTTCCCAAATATAGTTTTCCTAAAAATGTTCATCAAATAAAGTGTCTTTTTCATCTTCAAGTCAAATTCTTTGCTCTGAATGTGATCAAAATTTTGAAAATGACTACTAAATTTTGTGTGAATAATCAATTTTAAGCAGCGATAGAATAAGATCTTTACTAATTGTAAAAGAAAAATATTTATATGTAATTATTATGATTTTTTGGATAAATTTTGATTACAGACAAAAGTTGAAGTGCATACTTCTACCCTCCTATTGTGTTTTCTCGCTCATGACGTCATAATCTGAGATAACAGGAGTGAGTGAATAAGAGGCTTAAGTACGATACGGAAAATCAACATTGTTAAGAATAATAACTATATTTTTGCGAGAATCAGAAATTAAATTTTTTTAGTATTGTGTTAACAGTATATCAATAATTGAACAGAATATGAATTTAAAATGTTGTAAGTCTGAAATTATTAACTAA